ATAACAAGCCTTGTCACGAAGCACTCATCATCTCCAAATGGCTCCAGGAGCATGACAGTGATTTTAATTTACTTCACTTTCCTCGTGTACTTTCTTTAGATCCCAGCCCAATAGAGCACCTTTGAGATGTGGTGGCAAGGGTTTTTTTCCTTACAGTGTGAATGTGCTGGCAAATATCTGCAAGAACTGTGCGTGGAAACTATCACCATTTCAAGCCCATGCCTGAACCAATTTTCTCTGTTTTGAAGTAGAAATGTCTTATGCAACTCTAGATAGGTGTATCTTTGAGTGTGGACTCCTCTGCCATTAAATTCAATGTAAATTATGTAATGTACGACCACCTAAGACTTTTCTTGATTGTTTAAATTGCATGGTTAATTTAAACGTTTCCCCTGATTCAATTCATATCTGCCAGACTGCACTTGAGATGGTAGAAAACCATTGAAGCCTCTTGTCACATTTTCCAGAATGACTGCTTTCAAATTGGAAAAAATTAGATTGCCATCACTCAAGAGAAGGATCAAAGTATAATTGTACATTTCATGCTTTATCAGTGCCTGGCAGGCATTACTGGTTTTGAGATACAGGAATATACGAATATCACGATCTAATACCCTGAGAGGTGTAGGATTAAAGTGACTTGCGTTGAGATAATTCAAGGTGAAGATGCAGATATGAAAATTGTTCCATTGTCCAAGTGCAGTGCATTACACTACCATGACGAGGCCCCGAGGACAACAGATTCATCATAGTCCTGCATAAATTAGGTAACAAGTTTCTGATGATTTATTGACTTAATATCTGGACATGATTACAGCAAAGGAGCAGATTGGAGTCATGCATGGCTGGCTTTGGATTAGAGGCAAAAATGAGCGACATTGTGCTTGTGTTTTGTGTGTGTGTGTGCTCAGAGCACAGGAGTGCAGCCTCTAACGGGGTGTTGGTATGCTAATACCGCAGCAGTGAGCTGTCCCTAAGGGTAAAATCATCTCTTATTCAAACTCTTTTTCAGCCATAGGCATTTTTTCGACTCAACAGATAAGGAAACAGGTCTGCCTGTGCTGCTTTGAGTGAGAACACCACTTCATGCGTGTCCATGTGTTTCCGTTTTGGGGGGATTTTTTTGCTTTATGAAGCTTGTTCGGCTGTCGTTTCATTTTTGACACTTTACATTTTGCAACAAGTAATAACTAGCGGGGTACCCTTATTAAAACACAAATTCAACAAACTACTACAGCAATGAGATGTTAGACTACAAAAACATGTCATTGCTGTTCATTTCATGTTTTCTGTATTGTCATTTGCCTCTTAGGCCATAAGAGGCAGCGTTGCCTCCAGTGGCTTTTAGGGGTTACTTATTCCCTTGTTTCTGTTTCCTGCTAAGTGTCTTTTACTCCTTGTGTCTTTCTTAGCTTTGTAGTGGGGATAGTGGTTTCATGGTGGTTGGCTAGCTGCCAGAGGAGATGGGTACTGCTACAAAGTGAAGAAGACAGGAAAATTCTGCATAATTCATAGCCAGAAGGAAAAACATATGCTGCCTTTTCTACCTTTAGCAATTGCCTCTGTTGATTGTGTTATTTTTATTTGACACCTTTTCAGGTGGATCCTGTGTGTGCTTACACATAGGTGAACGCTGTTACTGGACAAAAAGCATGCCGCACTTGCTTTTCATTTATAGATTTTAGCCATATGAAGTCTGCTCTTCTGCAGCCCAGTTAATGATAATCTGTATGTTTGTGTACCAGTTAGAACAGATGCTTTTTCTACTTCATGGTACAATCACATTAGGGAAAACAGTGGTTGGAGGCAGCACCACAACAAAAAAAAAAAAAGAAGCTTTTAACCATGTAATGAATTCAGAAAATGGGAACCAGGTCTGCAACCTCTCACCAGTTGTCTTACTGGGTCATAAAGAGAGTGTTAAAACTGCAATTAGACAGAGCGAGTCTTCTTTCATTTTAGTAGTTTACGATTGAATGGGTCCAGTTAGCAATTACATACAATCTATTTGTAATAATACAGGAATTTAACTGTGATAAATCAAAGGGAAATCACAAATTGGTTGATGTCTACATATACAGGATTTCACATGTAACTATTTAGAGTCCAGCCAGTATCTTATCTATCAATTACATACTAGTTATTTGAGAACTTTTGCGAAGTTGTCAGAGAGTGATTGCATTCATGCAGAGTTGGACATTATTTGGCAACAGGTTGCCTCACACTAGGTGGTCACCTTGTAATTGAACGTACACGACACCCTCACCCTCTAGATGTCCTATTAGTCACCACAACTGCTTGCAGTTCTTCCTAGTCAAAGTTTTAAATAAATAGTAATTTTTAAAACTAAATCTAGTAAATCTGCTTCCTCAAATGGCTTTTCTGTTTGTATATTAAGCAAGCGTAGACCATATTTGTTCCTTATCATTATTAAACATATAAAGAATTTAACTTTGTCTTTATGATCAGCTCTTGCTGAATCCACCTGTTTTGATTTTGCATCTTAGGAATGCTATTTTATTCTGATTCTACCCACTAAAGCACAATAGTATGGTGTCTCGGATTAATTTTCTATGTGAACAATTAGTTTATTGTGAATTACTGTCACTTTAAAAGGCATTAATTATCTCAGTAATACAGTGCAGAATTTATTTTTATTGAAACGGAGGGCACTCATAGTTCTTCTTTTTTTTCTATTGTTATTGTGATACCTGCATTTCAGACATAAAGGATTCAGTGCCCACAGTCACTGATGGAGTCATGGTGTGAGTGCGCATCTGTGCAGCTTGAATGGCGCAGTGTAAGTTGCCGCTTACTGACAGGGTTTACGGACCTGCCTGGCGCGATGAAGGGAAACTGCTCCTGCCAGATTTTGTGATAATTGCTGCTCTTTGGAAAACACTGTGAAGATAATAATTAGCACGGTGACTCGGGACAAACAGAGAAATAAACTTATTGCAACAATGCGGTAAATGTAACCAGAATGGTGGGTTGGGTGTGTGAAAACAGAGAAAGGGATAAACAAGAGCCACATTGAGTATAAGTAGCCTTCAAGGTGCCTTCTAACCATCATTGTTGACACGCGCGCATAGAGTACATTTATTTGCACTGGCACGCACAACTGCACAGACACAAACACGAGTTGTCGCAGAGGTAGTGATCCAGTTGGTCATGTCTATTCATTTGGTGAAAAAAATCTGATTATTTTCAAGGATGTGTACACATCGATATAATCAGGAATGCTTAATTGGAAATATTTATGCAGGGCATTATTTAAATAATTCTCTGTTCATTATCATAAGTTCTCCCTCACTGCTTTTATTAAGGACAAGATTTAATTATTTTGCGATAAACTGTAATGTTCTCATGTGACATTTCATCAAGAAATGGATGTTTTATTAAACTAAAGGTCAGATACTACAAATACTTCGGCCAGATACCTTCCCTGTGCCTTTATGCTTATGGTGATGCGGCATGGACTCGGGTGACTTTCTGAGTGGTCTTTATTTATTCATTTTGGCTAAATCGGGATTGTTTAACACTTGAAATAGGAGCGATCGGCTAATACATATCATATTTAAAGTTCAGCTGAAATTGCTTGTCATACAGTAATATGTCCCATCTTTTTTTAAGAAAAAAAAATCCAAATTCAATAGAGACAGAAAATAGTTTTTCTCTCTTTTATTTTAATGATTGCTCTTAATTTCTTATCTGCCTTAACATGGAAATTTGTGTACATACAGGCAGTCACCTCACATTAATTTAGGGCATATTTACATACATTTACATATTTACATTTACATATTTACAACACTGTTCTTTTGCAAGCAGTCACAGTGACTGATGTACTGTCTTTTGTCTTGCAACTTGGTTTCTTGAGTGAGTGGACAAACATTCACAGAGGAAAAGTGCTCTGCAAATGTCAGTTTGGGGGCAAGACAGCAAATTAACTGCTCTTGTGTGGCATATTAAACAGCGTGTAAACCTTCCTCCAAATTTCACTTGTTATGGATGCTTGTCGTGTCCTTATTCTTCAGTACTACTGCTAACAAAATACTCCCTGCCCACGGCTTTTAGGCTACAGTGCCAGTTTGTTTACGCTTCCTCCCATTCCCCTGCCTGTGCCTGAGCTCACCTTGTCAGCTGCTGTCAATCCACTGCCCCCACCAACACACCCCTCCAGCAACAGGAAGGAAATGTAGCATTTCTGATATTTGCAAAGACATTTTGCTGTTTTTATGCCTTCAAAATTGCAGTATTTTTTGCAGAAAAAAGGGGATATTTTGCTTTTAGTTTAGGTGTTAAAACACCCTATTGTATGAAGGTCATTCCGAACATGTTAAATGCCATGGCACACCAAAGAAAGACGCACAGTTCAAAGGAATACCTAATTATTGGTTGTTCAGAAAATGCCACGGAAAGGTTTATAGTAGGGAGCAGATGTTAGTTTGCCTGAGAAAAATGTGACCTATAAAAAGCTACTGTCCAGAAAGAATATTGCACCAAAAGTCACATGTTTTACTGCAGCTTATAAAGTCCTGAAGTGCACTCGTAGTGTTATACTGTTCTTAACATAAAACTTATATTAATTGGAATTGTGAGGGCTAAAAAAACCCACAGAAATCCCATCTGGAATCTGTGTGTGCGCGCGCGTTTGTGTGTCTGTGTGTGGCTGATATTGGTAAATAATAGCTTGATAAATCAGCCTCGCTGAAGGGTTGTGTAAATCAGCAGAATAAGATTGAACTGGCCAGCGATAAATGTCGTACAAATGCTGATACTGAATGCAGCTTGGCTGTTTTACTTGTCTGTCAGGGCAGAGACACGTGCATGTTATTCACTACAAGCAAGCGGCAGTAGCCAGTAGCAGCAGCCACACTCTTTGGGACTGTACAAACTAGTAAATCAGCTGAATGTTGACAGATCTAAACCTTTATTGGCACAAATTCACCTTCATGTTGTCTTCTGTTCTCTGTCCTCTGCTGCTTCTTTCCCTGCAGTTCTCTTTGGTCAGTTTGTGGTATTCCAGACTTTGACCAGCGATGTGGTCGAGATCTATGATGGTTCTTCAACAGATTCAGCCCTTCTCTCTTCCATATATGGATCACACTCAGGTAAGAGCATAACTCTCTGACTTTGAAGCCTAGTGTCTCTTCGCTCATAACTATGGCTAGGGCCTTGAAAGGTCGAGTGCAGCATTTAGAATTGCGGGCAGTACATCACATGCGACTCAATTCTAATCAAATTACTATTTTTCCTAGACAAATTGAATGTCTGTTATCTGAGCCACTTCAAGCTGCTAAGGATAAAGATTGTTTCCCTTCATATATTCTCATATTGATATAATTACATTATGATTGTAATTGAATAAACTCCAGAGATTCCAATTAAAATAACAAAAGCAAACCAGCTGTTGTAAATTGTTGTCACATTCTACGTGGTTAGACTGTCAAATATGTTGAAACAAAGAAAAGCACTGAATCCTTTGTGTTGTACTGTACCACTTAAGAACATCCTTTTGATTTAAATTTAAATCACACCGATAATGTCTTGATTATGTTTTTCGTTTTGCTCTGTTATGTAGGTGAGACCCTACCTTTGAGTTCAGGAAACAAGATCATGCTAAAGTTTACCACAAATGGAACAGAAACAGCCAAAGGATTTCATTTTGTTTACCAAGGTAACGTTACATTTTCTGCTATAGTTCCAGAGTTTCATCCGCAGAATTATTTGCTACATTGACTGCATTTGTTTGCTTTCGGGGGAAGGTGAAGGTACTTTAGCCCAGCGCTCATCAAACAGAGGGCTGTTCAGCAGAGTGCCACTGGATGCGGCTGGGCATGTCTGAACAAAGCAGAATGATGTGGAGTCAAATAGCCTATCCTGGCAAAGCAGATGAGAGTGACTAATGACGCGCGAGGAGATTCACAAGGGCTTTACTGTTGCATTCTACCTCCTTTATCTTTCCTTGTCTCCTATTCCCTGTTGTATTTCTGCCTAACAAACCCACCCACCGCTCTTTGTCTTTCTTCCTCTAATGCTCGCTTCCTCCCCCTTTATCCTTAGCTGTCCCTCGGACAAGCGCCACTCAGTGTAGCTCAGTCCCTGAGCCCCGCTTTGGGAAGCGGATAGGGAATGACTTTGGCATCGGTATGGCAGTACTGTTTGAATGCAGTCCAGGCTACACGCTGCACGGCTCCAATGCCATCAGGTGCGAGGCTGTGCCCAATGCCCTGGCCCAGTGGAACGGCACTGTGCCCACATGTGTTGGTAAGCGTCATCATCCTCCAATCCTTGCCGCATGTCCTGCATGCACGCAAACACACACAAACGCACAAACACCAATCCAAAAAGTGGCTCAGGTGCATAAAAGCAGTTGGTGTCTGTTTTTTTGTTGGGGGTTTTTCCTGTCATTAGTTTTCCTAATGTCCATCACCCATTGCAAAGCAGCTAATCTCAGGCTCTGGTAGATTAGACCAGCAGAGAGAAGCAACAGCAAACAGAACAAGCTTCACCCAAGGGTTTTAGGTTCCTGTGTTTTTCCAGATAAGTGGAAAAAATAAATATCAGTGTAAAGTAAATACATCCAACAACAACAGATCTTTCAAGAACTTTAATCTCTATATGCCCTCAGTATAATGTAGTTCAGTATAACAGCTCTGCTATAAAAGGGATTTTTTAACAGATTAGCACTCCATATGCAAATAAATCTGGACAGAATATTCAAACACCATCATTCTGTCCCGCAATGCCAAAATTGTAATGCTATCTATATATTATATAATGGGACCAGGCATGTGTACAATATAATACATTGTAGCTTTTGACAAGAATCGTCATTAATGCACTCTTGATATAAATATAGTGCTTTGCAAGGTTAATGCCATTATAATGGATATGTTATAGGGCTTCCACGATTAGTCGACTAGTCACGATTACGTCGACTATCAAAATCGTC